TTGTTAAAAATATATAGTCTACATTTTTTAATTAAGAAATTGATTTAAAATGATTTTCCTTACAGAGATCCAATATTATTTAAAGCCAGTTTACATACCTTTGTTGGGATCCAAAGGTTTGCCCTCCAGAGGGCTGTGTGGATCCCTTCCTGTGGGCTTCTGTTTCTGTTGGGATCCAGAGGTTGCCCACCAGAGGGCGCTGTGGATCCTCTCCTGGGAGCTGGTTCTCAGCGCTCAGCTGATTCCCATCAGCTCTGCTGATTAACCTCTCCCTATATAAACTGTTTGATAGCTTCACTCTGAGCCGGATCGTTTTCATGCCTTGCCATGTTCTCCCATGCTCTGCCATGTGCTGCCTTGCCATGCTCTTCCATGCCATTGCCATGCCTGCCTGAATCTGCTTATCTGTGCCTGTTAAACCCAGTCTGTCTGAACCAGCGAACCAGTGAGTTTGAGCTTGTTTATCTGTCCCTGAGTTTAACCTGTGCTCTGTCTTCTCTGCCTTCCAGGGCAGAACCCTGTGTGGATTTTAATAAATATTGGACCTTAATCCTGCCTCAGTGTCTGTGGAGTTCTGCATCTTGGGCTAGTAACCTGCTAAATCATGACACCTTTGTTGATATTGTCCTTCTTGCTGGTTGAGCTCCACTTTATATAGTTTTGAAGTTGGATGATTATTGTAGGTTTCAGGTTGTTTGACTGCAAAGAGGAGGTGAGGAGTGGGTCTGGTGGGCAGGGGGGGGTTATGGTTGAGTTGAGCAGTCCTAAATGTTAGGCACCATATCAGAAAAGTTCTGTAATAATGAATTCATCCTTAGCAAATGGAGGGACGTCGAAATGGGACAGTTTTATTGCCTGTTGTGTAAACAGTGCCACCTGCTCAAAGAGCCTATTCAGGGTTAATTCTGTCTGCAGCAACAGTTTCACCTGTTCTATTTTACTGGCATATTTACCATAGCTATATATGCAGCAGACATCACCCAGATGTTTCAAAAAATATCTCCCACTGCCAATGCTACACTGTCATTACTATACAGAGAGCTACGGGTACTTTTGTTGTCATGCTTCTTTGTCACCTTTGAGAAATCAGTAGACAACATATCTCTACTGAAACCATCCAGCCAAAAGCTGCCTGACAGAATAACCTTGAAAAACTAAATGAACTAAAAAAAACACCTTAACGATACCAAACTTTTCAACTCGATACCGATACTAAGGAAAATATTCGATACTCGATACCATTTTCGATACCACAAGGATAAAAACAAAGAATCCAAAATTCTACAGAAATATTTTCATTAATACATAAAATACAATAAATAAATACAATAAAGGTTGTATGCTGTGCACTATATTAATCAAGCTTGATAAAAAACTTATAAAATTAAAATTAAGTGTTCCTTCCTTGGCTATGCTTTGCACACATAACAATAAAACTAGCCAAACCGGATAAGAAACAAAAATAATTCTCAGCAGCTACAGTTCTTACAAAAAAAAAGTCTGAAACTGAAAGTGCGTAGAATTATTCAATCACACAGTGTTCTGAAAGTGCATTGTCCACTATTCTGCACTTTAGTTGAATGACTGCTTAGGTGCCACTGGTGGTGGCACTGTATCGATACTTTTAAAAACGAGTATTGTATCCGGATACAACTTTTCAGTATCGATACTTTTTTGAGTTTCGATACTTTTGACAACCCTACCTTAACCAAAGAAAACCTAATAATTAAGCAACATTCAACACAACAGAAAAAGAAAGACGGAATAAAAGTAGATAATTTTTCATTCAATTCACTCTACCAACGCTTAAAGGAATAGTACACCCAAAACATGAATGCGCACTTTCATCTGGTTTGGTCTGCCGCGGTTTCCGTAGCGTCGTGAACTCGCAGGCGCGCGCTTTCAGGAAATCCTATACACTACTGTTTATGCTCTAAAAACATTCTAAATGACTTCGTTTCGAGTAAATTCTGGATGCTACCCACTCAGGACACTTGGAATACATTGGACGAGCAGTATGGAGGAATATTGACACGTTTTTGTGGACTTTTATGGACCTTTCTGTCTCGGGCACCATAGACCTCCATTATTTGAATGTCAGCAGACAGCAAGAAGCCTCCCAGATCTCCAGATGCATTTGAGATATCAAAAAAGTACTCCAGAGTGTTGTTCAGCATGGGGGTGAGTAGAAAATGAAGGCTAATCATGTTTTGGGTGTACTATTCCTTTAACACTTACCACACTCATTGTGGAAGAAGAAGGCCCCACAGCATGCAGCACTGTCACACCATGAAGACCTATGATCCTTCCAAACAAGCCAGGGAGAAGTGGAAGAAAAAATCATTAGGTGAGATGAGATTTTTAAAATGCCTTTTTTGTTCTATAATTTGTTGACAGTGGCAAAAATAAGACCACAGAAGAATTAAGGTAAAATGTGAGTATAAAAAAAACATTAACTTAAGCTGTTAAGTTCAGCTCCACCAGAGGGCGCCATCATCCAGTAGGCGGAGCTCTCCTTGTGCTCTGTGTTCCAGCATTGTGTCAATAATAAGTGTTGCTGTGAAGAGAACAATAGTCAGACTGAATGTTGAACATCAGCTAGTTTCTCCTGCTGATTTAAACCTTGTTGGACAGATGGAACATTGGCTGTGGATTATTCTAGCTGCTCTTTTCTTTGGTAAGATAGAAAGCTCAACATGTTTCCTCTTCAAACACTTGAACACATTACTGAGCTCTACATGAAGAGCTTTAATGTTCATTCTACAGAAAATCAGAGCAGATCATTTCTGCTGCCATTTGTTACCTTGTAGAAACACCTGATATGGTTCAAAGTGACAATGATCAGAGAAAATGACATCTATTCTACATGGAATAGAAGTCTTTAAAGCTGCTGATTGTTCTCCTTTAATCAATCATCTTTATTGATTCATCTCTTCCTCTGCATGTTCTGTTCTTCCTCAGAGTGTAAAGGAGACTCAGTGAAGCAGACAGAAGGACATGTTGCTGCTGCTAAAGGAGGCAATGTTACCCTTGAATGCACTTTTGAAACAAACTCCTTTGGGAATCCCTACTTGTTTTGGTATAAAAAGGAAGAAAATAAACCCCCAAGTCATATACTGACCCGCCTCAGAGGGACAGGCATAAATTCTAAGGAGTTCAACAAGGAACGATTTGATGCTAATCTTCAAGATGCATCCATCCCTCTTAAGATCCAGGATCTCCGTCTGTCAGACTCTGCTGTGTACTACTGCGCCCTGCAGCCCACAGTGACAGGAAACACCAGAACTCTGCACAAGAACCTGTAAAGAAAAGACAAAACAATGCTCCACAACCTCCACTAGAGGGACTCCAAATTCAACCAGCAAAAACATTGGGTGATGATGGAGGAACCAAACTTTACTTTGCTCTTATAGACAGCAGCACCTTTACTTGTGCCTCACAGGTTCCCTTTACGGAAGTTCTAAGTGACAGAATTACGTTCTTCAATTATCAGAGTGAGGACACCCACTGGTCCAAAAAGCAGCTAGGTTGGAGATAAACTTGCATGTATTCAAGATATACAAAGGGGGAAAGTAACTAGTTACATATACTTTCCTTACTGTAACCACCTGCAGTTTGTTTGTACTGTGTATTTTTCAAAATAGTTTTAAAACTACTTAAGTGGGTTTTTTATTTTGGTTAGTTTTAATATCAAACATGTTAATGAATAAATATTTAAATTTAAAAATGGAGAGAACTTCAGGAATCCATCCTCTTGGTTGATAGTTGGATCCCAACATAAAGCTATATAAACAAGCATTGAGAGGCTCTACAATTCTTTCCCTTCCTACCACTGATCTGTTGACATATTTTTAATGTGATGCATTTTCTAACCAGTCTAGGAAGTATATATTTTCTTTTTGTACTCTTTTAACCTCTAGTTATTTATCACCATAAGTCTGTCATTGTTTGGATGTTCACTGATCTGATCCACCTCCTGCACTGATTTCAATTCAGTTGATCTATATAGTGATATTTCACAGCACATCATCACAAGACAGTTTACAGAGATAAAACAGCCAGATTGGTTAAATGTTTCTCAAGAAAACCAGCAGATTACATCGACTCAATGACTTGAAGGATATGGCCCCCCTGGCTGAGCATATGGCGACAGTAGATATTCTCTGGCATTTTGCCGTTGCGCGTAGATGCACTGATCTATAAATCATTTTTATATTACAAAAAGTAACAGTAAACTAGCTCCACAGGTGGCTCTATCAAGGAAGAGCTGTTACAGTAGATGAGCTCTGAGCCAGTTTTCATGTCAACGGGATGAAAGAAAGCACATCCAGCTAGTCACAGTAAAAGATGAACCCAAAGCTATGTCTAGGTGCAAAACAGGGCTAAAGTCTGGAAAACAGGCCCAACTCATCTATAATCTAAGGCATTGATGGCAGCAGCAAAGCTGATATTTCTCTCCAGGATGGAGTCACAGCCAAACAGGAACAGACCAGATGAAGCTACTATGAGAAAAAGCAGAGAGAGCAGAACGTTAGAGATTGAACTAACAGATTCTGCAGAGTGGGAGAATAGAGATAGAATGAAGCAGAATGATGAAAAAGGGGTCCCTATGTCCTCCAGCAGCCTAAGCCTATAGCAGCATAATTGTACAAACTATTTTTGGCTAACTGACTATTTTGGATTAGGTATGAGAAGGAGAAATCAATCAGAATTACTTTATTAATTCCTTGCAGGATATTATGTTATGTCTCATATGTCTGGACTGAAAACATCTGAATTTTTATCATCATCTAAGAAACCGATTGTAGACAGGAAGAATATTCAATGTCAACCCAACAAATTCAAAACTCTATCTCCTTTGATTAAGTAACAGACCCTGCATTTATGACCGCACAGAGTCATACCAAAAACATGTGGGGGTTTTAACCTCATTCCCTTTGTTTTTAGACTGAATTATATTCTGGAGCTTTTTTTAAACACTTTGTTCCAGAGAAGGAAGAGCCTGTGAGTCTGTTAAGCAGGAGGAAGAGGAGCTGAGAGCTTCAGGGAGGAGCTGAGCTGTTACTAAACTATAGAAGAGACACAAACTTCCACATTCAACACAGTTCAAACATTACCTCTGATCATCATGGACTATTATGGACTTTCCTTATTTATCTTCTCACTTCTAACAGGTCAGATTTCCTTTAAAGTCATAAAACTTGTAACATGGCTAAAAACCCTCAGAATGAGCACCTCTGTAACTTCATTTTTATCAAATATTTCTTCCTTCAGGTATCAGCTGTGACTACCTGACTCCTCGTGAGGGAAGAGTCTTCAGCTCAGAAAAAAGTTCTGTTATTCTGCGCTACAATTATTCAAGACAAGTTTCCAATGATTATTTCTTTTGGTATCGACAATATCCTGGAAAACCTCCAGAGTTCCTGGTCTCTCTCTCAGCGACGGGATCATTGACATCTCAGCAGGTTCCTGGTTTGTCCTTTACAATGAGTGATGATAAAACCCAGATGGACCTGCTGATCTCCTCTGCTGCAGTGACAGACTCTGCTGTGTACTACTGTGCTGTGAGGCCCACAGTGACAGGAAACACCAGAACTCTGTACAAAAACCTGCAATACTCCACTACATCCACTAGAGGGCCTCACACACATTTCCTAAACTGACAGTTGAATTAGAAGACTGTTGACACATACTCCAGAGATAAGAAGCGCTATTGAAAAATACAATATAATTTAACATGTCCTTTGGGTTATAGTAATAAAATAATTTTCACATGTTTTGGGTTTTATAGTAACATGTTTTTTTAAGTCCCAGTTCTTCGCTTGTCATCCATCTGTGTTTCCACTGCATTCTGACATCCTATAAGCTGAAGACTGATTCAACACAGCGGTGGATTTCCTGTTGAATCCACAAAAAGTGAAGGAAGAAGAGCTAGAACCTTCAACTTGCTGTATGCTAAAGGAGAAACTGTAGAGGAAGTAATCCTGCTTCGGTTAAAGAGGCCCCGCCCTCTGGGCAGCTCATCTAATGGCATTATTTATTCTTCCTTCTCCTGCAGTAGAGGAACATTGTTCATCTGCTTTGTGTTGCTTCAAAAGGTCTGAAGACATGTTGCTTTACCTGTTTTATCTTCTATGTCTCATACCAGGTGAGTTTTTTGTGCATTTTGTAACGTTTCTGCTTCATTTGAACCAATAGACAGAGTTCTATTGGTTCTAGTTCTTGATATAGTTGTGGATGTATACAATTTCATTTGCACTGGGTTTATTTGTGGATACTCACTACTAACATTGGTCCATTGGCTTTTTTACCTCCAGTGTTTTCAGGACAAACAGTTACAGACAAAATCTCTCCTGGTTCAGCGGAAGTCAGTGGGACAGAGGGACAACCTGTCTCACTGTTCTGTGAATATGCGACAGGATCCAAGTTGCCTTTCCTTCACTGGTTCAGACAACATCCGGGATTTAATCCTCCCAAGTTCCTACTGTTCAAAGGAGCAAGAAACGAAAGTCAGGAGGAATACATCCTGGATGATCACTACAGATCATTCACAAATCACACATGGACTGAACTAAGGATAGAATCACCAAGCGTGGCACACTCAGATCTCTACTACTGTGCTCTGGAAACACAGTGCTACAAAGTGTAGAGGAGGCTGTACAAAAACCTGAAAAGTGACACCAGCCATTGTTCAGAGGTAAGAGAAACCACAAACCACAGCTGCTCATCAAAGTTCTCTGCCTTGTTAAGAATCTTTGTGGTTGCAGGTGCAACAGAAGAAAAATCTTTACATTCACTTAAACTAACCCATCTTATAGGTTAAACAAAACTGTCCAAATATAATAGAGGGAAAGGGTGTGCCCCAATTCAGGCTCTGCAACTGTTGCGTCGCGCTGTGATGGAGGTCGTTCTAATTCATAAAAGTTATTCTGCGCTCTGACAGTAGGTGTCAGCGTTAACAGGAGAAGCCGTCAGGCTAATGTTACATCAGGCTTTTATTAAGTTGTGGTGAGTATTTGACTCATTTAAAATTTTCCCAAATTTACAAAAGGTACAGGGGATCTGTCAGGCTGGTGTTCACTCACTTTTTAAATGGTTTTGTTTCAGCTAATGACATCATACATTTCACTGTGATTGAACATGAAACTGCTGATCTGTTCAGTCATTTTTTATTTACATCCATCTATGTTGAATATCTTTAAATATTGACAGTTTGTACATAAGTATCAGAAAAAAACTAGCATTAAGCTATTATTAATATTATTGCAACCTGTTAAAAGCTTCCAGGTGAAATCTTCTTCCTGCTCCTTTTTACTTCTTCCTGCTCCTTTTCGCACATGTAATAGAGGTATATTAACTGAGGAAAGAAGGGTACCTTGTTTGTTGTTTTTCTCTCCAATGTTTTTAAACATCCATTTAAAAATCCAAATCCAAATCTGTTTAGGAAAAGATTTGCAGAAAGAGGTAATAATCTAAATGCAGTCAGATGCAAAATGAGGAAATGGTTTAATTTCAATAAAAAAGGTGATGAATGACGGCATTAAAACTTGTTGGCTTGTTTTACTGTGACTTCAGGGTAAGTGTGCAGAGGGGTAGAGCAACGTGGAAGTCTATCGGGGACTACCCTGGCAGCTTTTTTTCTCCTACTGATACTTTATGGTGAGTAAATAATTATATTTATTAGGGAGTTTCCTTTCAACATCAGATAAGTGATATATCAAACATGTCCCTAATATATTGCATCTTTTCTCCAGCAGATGTGAGCTGAGCAGAGCTGTTTCCAGATAAAAACAAGATGTTTATTCTGGGCCAAAACGCGGTCTCTGTATCATATTAATACTAAAACTTTGATCAAATTATTACTTTTTCTGGTGCGAACAATATGCAGGAACAGAGCTTTTGTTTCTCGGGGACATTGTTGATCAATGAAGTCCCTGGACTAAAAATCAAAGTGAATTGAAAGCAAAAAGCTGGAGATGTTGACCTGCTCTGATGCAGGATGTGACTTAGTGTCCTACTACTCTGCTGTGAGGCTCACAGTGACAGGAAACACTCTACAAAAACCTCATACATCACAGCTCACTTATTTATGGTGCAACAGTGCCACCATGTGGACTCCAGGAGTATCATTTCCCTGATTATCAATGTCCTCCTCACAGTCAGAGATTTTTCTATTTTTCTTTACTTCTAATAATTTAATTGTTTTTTTTTTAACAAAAATAAAACAAACAATTAGTTAACACAAATCTTACAATTCAAAATTTTAAAATCTAATAACTTTTGCTGAAAAATAGAAAATGCCATAAAGGCTCTTTGCTCCCTTCTTAAACTCTAAAAGAAAAGTTCCTCCTGCTTTAATACTTATATAATCAAACACTAAATAATGTATTTGAACCTTAGCAGGTGCCCTGAGGGACGCCTTACTCCACCAGACATGATCTGTCTATAAACCAAACATTAAAATTCAACACATTATGAAAACGAAGAACCTAATCTGACTTAGAAAACATGCGTTCCACTTGATTATTCCTCACCGCCTCAACAAGATGGTATTTTTTCTCTTTACTGTGTAGTTTTAACAGATTTTTGATAGAAACTGAGAAATTTCAGATCCCAATAGAACTAAAAGTCTTTGTGTCTCTGAATAATCCCCTTCCAACACATTTCCAGAGGTGGATGTTAGACTTTATCAGCAAGACAGCTTCCACTGTCCACCAAATCTACAGAAAAAGGAACATAAAGAAATACCGTATTTTCACGACCATAAGGCGCACCGTACTAAAAGGCTCAGTCTCAGTTATGTGTGCCATTATGTATTTAACACACACATAAGGCGCACCGGATTATAGGGTGCGGGTTTTATATACAGGTACATGTCCTCTACTACCTTTAAATTCCTCTACTGCGTATTTAAAAATAGAGCGGGAGCAAAACTGAGTATGATTGTGCTTTATTCATGTATTTATTACAAAGTATTAATCAAACCCATCAAAGTCATCATCCTCTGCTTCTGAATTAAACAGCTACGCTAAATCAGACATGCCAATATTCCCTTCTTCGCTGTCAGAGTCACTTTCCGTGCCGGGCGGCTCCTCAGAAATAATGCCGGCTTTTGCGAAAGCTCGAACAACAGAGCCAGCAGACACGTTAGTCCAAGCATCTACAATCCATCAGCAAACGGTGGCGTAACTTGCCCGGCGCTGCCTTCCACTTCCACGGGATAACAGCGAGCACAGCAGTTATTTGTTTCACCATGTTTTTCACATCGGCTGTGAGATGGGCACGCATGGAGTCACAGATTAACAGCGATGGTGATGCATGGAAAAAAACACCTGGTCTCCTTCCATTCACCTCCCTCAGCCACTCTTTTATCATCTCCTCATCCATCCAGCCCTTCTCATTTGCCTTAATAATGACTCCAACTGGAAAAGTCTCTTTAGGCAAAGTCTTTCTCTTAAAAATCCCCGTAGGCGGCAGTTTCTGTCCATTTGCGTGGCAGCCAATCCACGCCCACACTTCCCTCTTTAACGTTCTCATGGCGGTCTCAACAACGTCCGCAGTAACAACACACACAGGGCGCACCGCACTATAGGGCGCGCCGCACATTTTGAGGAAAAAAAAAAAGACATTTATATGCACCTTATAGTTGCAAAAATACGGTATGAATATGTCTAAAGTCATCTGACCCAAACCCTGTCTTCAGGATCAAAGCTTCTCATTCCACGTCTTCTACAGGTGGAAGCATTTTCCTCCTTCACCTTCAAGTATTTTTAATCCATTTCCTGCACTAGGAACGAGATTCAAAGTGTATTTGTCAAGATTATTTGAAACTATAACATGAACTTTATCCTACGGAAGAGACAAGTTAAGTAGTACAAACGGAGAACTAAAATGTTTACATTTATACATTTAATTATTTCAGAGGAGGAATCAGACTTTCTTTAATTGCTTTTCATAAAAAGTTTTTTTTTAAATTTGTCTCTGAAATTCGGGCTGATTCATTTGCTAATTTTTATTGTCTAATGCAGATTCCTGCAATTAAACTGTTGAGTTTTAATCCTTAAATTTCCTCACAGTAATCATGTTTCAGACATAAAAAAAATGGTCACTGAATATGTTTTTTCTCTTCATCCAAATCTGCTCTTTAGGACCAAGTAGTACCAAAAATTTCCACTAGATGGTGGTGGTGCTCCATCAGAAAGGAAGGACGCATTAGCAAAGATAAAGATCCCTTCTGGAAGAAAAGCTTAAACTTTCTCTTTAGGTCCGGTTTTTATAGAAAGGTTTAACATTTAGAAGGTTAAACATGGTAAGTTTATTCCTACAACCTGATTTAGACAAAAAGACAGCCCACAATGTTTCATTATCATAATAAGAAAGACATTAAGGAAAAGAAATGTTTAAGTTTAAGGTAAATAAGTTTAACCAGATCTTCAAACTCTTCTTACAACAGACAATAAATTATTGAATCAGGTTCTTTGATTAAAAGCTCCTGGCTGCTAAAATGTTGGTTACTGATAAAGTTAACCAACAGTTTCTGAATCTCTCCAGTTTTCAGGCAGTTTGTTTCTGATATCAGCAGTAAAGGCACAAAATGACGCCTCCTCTTTGGTGGTTGTGGTTCTACACCATGTAGAGTCTACATGGTTCCTGCATGACCAGCAGCTGCTTTAGCCAAAGACTTTCTGACCCAAAATTAAACGTCT